GACAGGATAGACGCCGCGGAGACTAGAGCTAGTTGGCTGGCAATGAACTTGTTTGAGTATAGACGCGTACAATTCAGGTAGATTTCGTACGCAATACGCAAACTTCCAAGCATATGAACCAAGTAGCCAGGGTTAGTACTTAAAAAGTCAATGTAAAATATTATTCAAGAATAATCGACAATTAGAAGTGGGTTGACCTCGTTGTCGCAACTTGGTCTTGTGTCCAGGGAGACTATGTAGAACGCACTGAGTCCGAAGTCGTCTGCCATAGTAGTTGTCTTGATTCCCAGCATCCGACCGTGGACTTGATACATTCTCAGATGATCTCGCCTGCATCATTAGTGAGACTTGCCATCCTCCGCACCAAAATACTGGCGACTTTTTGCAGATCAGATTGTTGTAATTTTTATGCTTATGTAGTAGATAGAGGCCTGCTAATCCAATAAAAAGAGGCTATCCGACTAAAAATGGGATGGAGAAATCGTATGCATGGTCAATAAAGTACATGATAGGGATCTAAACCAAAAATCTCACGGCATCACAATTCGATAAAAAGTGACAAGACAGTAAACTGAATGCAGAGAATGCGCTTAACTGATAGAGATAGGGATTGACAGTGCTGAAACGCCAAGGCGTCCCGAAGTTGTCGAATACCCGACAGTTCATATGCTCGGACGACAACCAAAGATCGCATTTAAGCTTAGTACATAAAACAAACAAGGACAATTCGAGAATCCCATGAGCTAAGCTTTTCAAAGGAACGGCAATGCCCTCAATAAACACACCTAAGGACTATCTCAGCGATAAGACCAATCAGGTTCCGAAAGAACTTTGGAAATCGAAACCGAATGCACCACGTCAATCGAAGTAGACCTGTTAGGGACCATTGCAAATATCGAACGCGCGGTTTAGTGGTAAAGAGATAAACCTAAATAGTGTAACACAATAAGCGACTACCACATCATAAGGACGATGTAAAGTCAAAACGATTACACCTGAGAAAACAAAGAGAATTAATGAGCGATTAACAAAAAAGGATGTTGCCGAGTTCTTGTCCCCAAAGGAAAGAAAGCGGAGCTGTTTAATACGACTATATTACTAACAGTAGGAATGAGAATACAGAGAATCTGGTATATAAAAAGTTAAAACGACAAATGCATATGAACAGATAAATAGAGATCAGTACTCTTGCGATTGAGATTTTTTGGCGGTGATAGGAAGAGATGTCTTCTTTGGCAAAAGAACCGACTGGATGTTTGGCAGAACACCTCCCTGCGCAATAGTAACGCATCCAAGAAGCTTGTTTAGTTCTTCATCATTCCTAATAGCTAGCTGAAGATGCCGAGGAATAATTCTTGTCTTTTTGTTATCCCTTGCGGCATTTCCAGCGAGTTCAAGAACTTCAGCGGCAAGGTATTCCATGACAGCAGCGAGGTAAACAGGAGCTCCGCTACCAACCCTTTCGGCGTAATTACCCCTCCTCAGTAAACGATGA